GATAGGAAAGGCAGCAGAATACAACAGACACTAGTATGGCAATATGTAAAACAGCGGATGTGTAACCAATGTGATGCTGCAATCTGTATACTGGGTAAAAATGGGAGTTCATAATCCACTTGAATCAAACTGTGAAATATGATATGTCAAGAACTATGTAATGTTTTGAACAACCAACAATAAAAATTTTTAAAAAAAAGAGTTACACTAGGTTTGAAGTCATTTCTTTGCAAGTTAAAGGCAGTGCTTTTTCTTAAAGTCTTATTAAACATCAGTTTGTAAATTAATTGAATTCATTCACAGTATGTCTAGATTCAGATATAATACTCCAATTATTTATTGCACTTTGTGACCCAACACAAACTACTTAATCCATTCCTGCCTTGTTTCCTATCTGTAAAATGAATATAATAGTACCTAACTCACAAGATTGACCTAATAACAATAATAATGTGTAGGTGCTGGCATTAGCTTTTTCCCTAGCACTATTCCTGCATAAGCAGAGATTTTTTTTTTCTTTTAAAAACAGCAAGTGTGGCATATATACACAATGGAATATTACTCAACAATAAAAGAGAATAAAATCATGGCATATGCAGGTAAATGGATGGAGTTAGAGAAGATAACTGCTAAGTGAAGTTAGCCAACCCCAAAAAAACAAATTCGAATGTTTTCTTTGATATAAGAAGGTTGATTCATAGTGGGATGGGGAGCCCAGAGCTGGGAGGAACAGACCAATTCTAGATAGGGCAGAGGGGTTGAAGGGGAAGGGAGGGGGCATGGGGTCAGAAGTGAGGTGGAAAGTGGTTGTTGGGTGCAGAGGTGATCATTATTATCCAAAGTACAGGTCTGAAGACATGAATTTGTGTGAATATACTATGTATATAACTAGAGATATGAAAAATTGTGCTCTATATGTGTAATAAGAATTGTAATGCATTCTGCTGTCATTAAAAAAAAAGAGTTGTGGGKAGGTGATAGCTACCTCAGGAGTAATAATCATTTCAAATAAAAATAAAGCAATCTTTGAAGTGGCCAAGCAGGAGAAATCTCAGCAAAAAATTAATTTTTCATTCATTTGGCATCAAATAAATCTAGATTGGACTTGTCTCTTTAGGAGAAAGTCACAATACTTAACCACTTTTTAGGTCACCTTCTACCCCTCGAAACCGGAAAAAAACACCCTTTCGCACTTTGCTTTCTTTTCAACTTCTTTGGATCAACTTGATTTTTTTTTTCCTTTTCTGATTTCATAATTAACTAAAATGAATCGCTTGTTTTACTACATGAGTAAAACAAGCAAATAATACCAATTAATATGTCTTGCGATTATTATTTATCCGTAGGATTGGAAGCTGCTCAATGTCCAGATGTTATCAATTTTAAGGTGCAATGTAAATTGCCTACCAGAGGTTGAAGAATTTAGCRTTCCATAAATGAATATTATACTAATATTGCTCATTAATTTAAAAAACACTATTAGGAATGCATAAAAGTTCACCCACAGTCTTCAGAAACAATTCAGGATARCTTTTGCATGAATTAAACTCCGACAGGGCCACACAGCGCCGGAGTGTAAATGTCGAGGAAAAGCAACAGGCTTGCGCACGCGCAGTTTCTCCGTTCCGCCCAGCCGCTTGCTCAACTCCGCGCCAAAGTTGCCTGATTGTGCGCCTGCGCCATGACCTGCACTAGGCGCATGCGCTGCTCAGGGCCGGCCTCATCCAAGGCCATGGCGTGGGTACCATCGGAGTCTGCAGTGGAAGAGTTGATGCCCCGGCTATTGCCGGTGGAGCCCTGCGACTTGGCGGAAGGTTTCGACCCCTCGGTACCTCCGAGGACGCCTCAGGAATACCTGAGGCGTGTTCAGTGAGTGATTCGGCTCTGTGCGGGTGGGCTGGTTATCCGCCCAGGTCCAGGGCACAGCGCCTGTTGCCCATCTACACCCGTGCGCCACAAAGCCCCGCCTCTGTTCTAGTCCCAATCTCTCGCGAAATAGGGACTGCTCAAAATCTCAGGATTATTTCCTGACACGGGCGAATTCCCTTTGAATTTGATTGCACACATAAGACATGCTCTTGGATTTCCTTGCTTTTAATCTAAATAATTTCGGACATATGTTTGTTGTTTAGTACCTCTATCGGAAGTCTAGACATTTTTTCTKATTTCATAATGAATTAAAATGAATCACTTGTTTTATTACATGAGCAAAGCACAATAGTAATTAAGTTTCTTGCGTTTATTACTTATTCTTAGGATCGAAGCTGCTCAGTGTCCAGATGTTGTGGTAGCTCAAATTGACCCAAAGAAGTTGAAAAGAAAGCAAAGTGTGAATGTTTCTGTGAGTTTTAATAACCATCTGGGAGATTTGTCTGTCCGTTTGTCTGTCTGTCTAACACACTAAGGCTCTTCTTACACTATCCAATAGTATAAATTATGGTGTAGGTAAGATTTCGTCCCTACAAAGAGAGACATTGTCTTGTACTTTTTCCTCCATAGAGACAGTTGACTTTCTCCAGAGATTTTTCAGTAACACTGATATTTGTAGTGACTTGATCATCTTATTTTAAGGACATAATCGTGTCCTAAAGGAGTCTCTGTTACTTTTTTTTTTTTTTTTGGTAAGTTTTTTCTGGCTCTGTCTTGATCATTATTATTGAACTGGTGTTTAATCTTATCTAATGTAGTTTTGCACGTTCTGAATTTGCCCTGATATCACTTTTTAAGAGTAAAAACCCAAATGTCTTAAACCTTTCTTGTTACTTGCAACTGTGGGCATTTTCATTCACTTATTTATCCAGCACTCTTTTTTGGTGGGGATTGAACTCAGGGGCACTGGACCACTGAGCCACATCCCAGCAGTATTTTGCATTTTATTTATAGACAGGGTCACACTGAGTTCCTTAGTGCCTCACTTTTGTTGAGGATGGTTTTGAACTTGAGATCCTCCAGCCTCAGCCTCCTGAGCCTCTGGGATTACAGTTGTTCGCCCCTGTACCCAGGTTCAGCACACTTTTTATTGGGCAACTAAGTTGTGCCAGGCACTAGAACACAACAAAGGATAATATAGAAAAGTCTTACCTGGCAGAGTTGGTGGCATACTTCTATAATCTGGGGGACTTGGGAGGCAAAGGCAAGAGGCAAGAGGATTGTAAGATCCTCAGGTAATTTAGGGAGATCCTGTCTCAAAATAAAGAATGAAAAGGACCTACAGATACAGTTCAGTGATGGATCACCTCTGCATTCAATCTCCAGCACCACAAAAAAAGAAAAGAAAGAAAAAGTTCTTACCCTCCCAGAGTTTATACTCTCCTAGGGAAGGCAGAGAGTAAACAAGCAAATGAAATATGTAATTGTAACCCTTCTTTTGAAGAAAATAAACATGATCAATAAATGAAAGAGAACTATTAAATAGTCATAGAATAATATCTCTAAAGTTAAAGGGAAGTGTCATTTTAAAGTTTTAATAATTTCCTTTATATGTTCTGAATAGTTCCATTATATCAGACTTATAGTAAGACAATTTTAATTCAGACACTATAATGTTTCATATAACTTCTTTTCAGAAGTTTTTGATTCATAGAACATGGTGTCTTATATACACAATACTTAAAAAGTGACCCCACTAAATATTGTTACAAGGTTATATGTAATCAGTTGTGAACTATGCACTGTTTTAGAAAACAAGTAGACTTTTTAAAGTCAAGATTCTTTAAATGTATTATGCCCATACCAAACTTCTTTATTTAAAGTATACCTCTCATTTTATGTTTTGCAGTTATAGAATGGTAGGACTGAATTATACATTTAGGGTTTACATCATTTAAATTTCTTAGAAACTCCAACTATAAACCATTCCAATTTTTTTTTCCCTATGCTGAGAATTGAACCCAGGGCTTCATGCATGCTAGGCAAGTACTCTACCACTATGCTATATCCTCAGCCCCATTCCAGATTTTTTTTTTTTTGTTAAAGTGGCTGAAGATCTTTTCCTAACTTTTTTGGGGAGGGGATACTGGGGATTGAACCCAGAGATGCTTTACCATTGAGCTACATCCCTAGTCCTTTTTATTTTTTATTTTGATACAGGGTTTCACTGAGTTGCTTAGGACCTCACTAAGTGACT